GTGTGAAGAAGCGTGCATGTCTGGGTCTTTTGCTGAAAGTCATTGACTTTTTTGCTAGTAGTAAGTAAACGCTTGTTCTAAAGAGATCTGTAGGGGTTTGGCTGTTTGCAGCTTTAGTAATTGGTCATAAACTTTTATGTATAGACGGCTCCCCTGCTAGCGGAGAAGCGTTCAAGAGGATTAACAAAGCCGATCTTGTTGCGAAGATGATAGAAATTGTTGGCAAATGTACAGATCAGTCCCATGAGCAAGGTATATGAGAATTTATTACGTTAACGATGAAACTATAGCAAAACATTTAACCAGACTATTGATAATCTTTAATTAGTGGAAGAGGATGTCTTTATTATCAAGCACGCAACAAAGCTCTTGCTATGCTTGTGTCTCAATGATGAAAACGCGCTGAACAGCTTTCTTAAATATCCCAATTTACGTCAATGGTTACTGTCTGCTCTCGCGCAATGTCAATCTGAAGAGTCGAGACAGGAAATTGCACGAATGATATATCGGTTCTGTGTCATGAACACCGAACCAATGATTGATGAAAACACTGACCAACGATTACGCGCGCACGAATTCTTCATCCGACTTCTAATTTCTTTTTTGCCCGAGTTAGAAAACCATGTATTTTCCAGTAAAGAGTATTTTGATTTGTGTGGAGATTTATTAGGCTTATTTACAAAGACAACGGACTATAATGTGAAAGAGTTATTTATAGAGCTTGTCAATCGGTTGAGGCAACATCCTATTCGAGAGGTAAGGCTACTCTGTCATTATATTTCGTTTACCGATAATGTTATCTAACGTTTCGAATCCTACGAAATTCGAAATGATAGCAATCACATGTATGCAGTGACGACACCGTAGTCGTAGGGTTACTAAAGTTGATAAAAATTCTTGTCGAAAAATACAGCGAATTGAAACGGATACCTGAGTTAGACAACAGGTAATACTTTTTTGCGCCTTCTGCCAAATCATTTTAATGCAATTTTAAACGTTTTCATTGCCTCGCAGCTTGATCGATATGATATTCCATGATTGTCTGTTCGAAATACCAGTAATGAAACACTCAGGATCAACATGTCTGCCACCAAAATGTAAACTCGATCTCTCCCGTAACACTGCAATGGAACTTTTATATGAATTAGCAAAAGACTGTCCAGAAAACTTTTCTTATTTAACAGAATTACTTCTACAACAACTTGATCGTGGTAATCAATTAAACAATCAGTGGAACTATTGTCCAAAGGCATCGCAAAAGGCTGTATCAGGTTACGTAGGACTACAAAATCTTGGTGCCACTTGCTACATTAATTCGATAATTTTTTCATGAATCCGTCTTTCCGTGATGGCATATTTATGGCACCCGTGAAAGATGAGAACAAGGATGAAAGTCTACTATATCAGTTGCAGGTGGTTTTTGGGCATTTACAAGAAAGTGCAAAGAAAGCATACGAAGCCACGCCTTTCTGTCGTGCTTATAAGGACTATGATGGACAACCTCTCAATGTTGCCGTACAGATGGATGTTGATGAATATTTTGCCGGATTATTTGACAGATTGGAGAACAGTGTGACTGGTACACCTCAGGCTGTGTTGTTTAAGGAACATTTTGGAGGAACGACAGTGCAGCAGATAAAATCGCGAGAATGTACGCACGTATCTGAGAGAGAGGATACCTTTTTTTGTTATACAATGCGAAGTTAAGAACAAAATAAGCGTTTAAGAAAGCTTGCAACTTTATGTTGAGGGAGAGATTTTAGATGGAGGTATGTGCTGTGTCTAATTATATTTGTTCTCATTGTGACGAGATAATACTAATAGAGATATTATTAAATAGATAATAAATACTCTTGCACTAAATGCGGAGTACATGTCGATGCAATTAAGAGGTTTAGTATATAAGTTGCTTGCTATATTATAGTCTAGTCAAATGATTGTCAACCAAGCAGGATTTAATTTATATTCTCCTCCAAATAGGACATGCTTTAAAAAGCTACCGAATAACTTAATAATACATTTAAAACGATTTGATTTCGATTATGAAGCTTCAAAACGCATTAAAATCAACGACTTTTTTGAATTTCCTACTGAAATCAACATGGAACCATACACCCTTGATTATCTAACGAAGAAGGAATCTGGTCAACTGGACGAATTAAACATGGACACGTCTAACATGTCTCAATACGAGTACGAACTCGTCGGTGTATTAGTACACACTGGCACCGCAGATTCTGGACATTACTATTCCTTCATCAAGGAGCGTAAGCCAGCACCTGGCGATCCATCAACAGAAAGACGATGGTATCAGTTCAATGATTCTAATGTGGAATTGTTTGACGCAAGGGAAATTCCTAAACAGTGTTATGGCGGCCCAGAACAGATTACCCAATGGGATCCCAATTTAGGGAAGAGTGTCACTCGAACATTTCCAAGACCTTACAGCGCTTATATGTTATTTTATGAAAGATGCTCCGACACATCAAACGATATCATGTCTCCGGCAGCAAAAGACCATGCCTCCAATGTACCTTCTGACATCTATACTCATGTATGGGATGAAAACATAGGTTTTCTCAAAGACAGGAATATATTTGATACGGCCTATTTCCGTCTGTTGTGGAATGTTCTTCATTCCATCGACGCCCATACAATTGATCAATTGACATCACCCGAGAAAGACGTTGATTTTACATTCCGCATCATCCAAATATCGAGTGAATTTGTTCTTGGAA